AGTTCTAGAAACATGGCGTGACACTAGTCATGTGACTTCGCTGACGCAACAGTATTGTATACTTATTGATTCATTTGCTCAGGTTCACTGCATGTTTTAACTGCAGCAAACAAAACCCCAAAAACACATTCTGCCATCAAAGCCCTCACTGATAACACAGAACTTACTTTCAAGTAAAAAAGTTGGCTTCAGCTGTGGATGGAAATGCTGTGACAACAAAACAGTATTAATTTACTTTTGGTCAATGAACTTTTTCAGCACGGCTCAGTCACTGGGTCCAACCTCGTAACCACTTTGTGCTTGTTATAGTTTTCATGCTATAACTTTTAAATTAGTAAGCAAATGTTAACGAAATTTGGCACATTATCAGTAAACATTACAGTGCTTTCATACGCAAAATATCAATTTTTTATTGAGACTTAAGGTTTGTAAAGCAATGTCTTATTTTTTCTTTTCGCATGTTGCCTATCTATCATGCAAATTAATTTTCATTTTAAGATTAAAAATAGTTTTATGCATCAGAAAATGTTTAAATTTCATATGCAAAATCTTTATAATTCCTGAATAGTTATCAAATGTTTTTTAAGAAAACACTTTATATTTTATCTGTTATTTTCAGTAATTAATCCTGTATGGGATCGGTAGATTTGACTGATCTCACAACCACCATAGAAAATTAGGAAATAAATATAAATTGTGCCTCTTTCATTCTAGAATGAATACAAATTATAACACGAAAACATAAATGTTTAGTCAAATTAGCTTAAATCTCATAACATTATACATATGCCTGGCTAACAATACAGAAGTTACAACAATGCGGCTCACGTGCACTCATGTTACCCTATCAAATGACATAAAGGTGACCTTTGGTCTGTACAAAGTAACTTATGTTGGCTGTGTTTTAGTAGACTAATACTTTGTAAAATAGTCACATTTCAATTATTATACATTATATATGTACATAGATTATTGCTATTGTTACGACAGCGGAAGTCACGTAACGCTAGTAACACGTCATGAGATTCTAGCAGGATCGGGAACATCACGAATAATCCAGTATTTGCTAGGCGCCCTCTATTCTTGTGTATAAGTGCGCCAGATAAAGCAAAATTATGAATCGGAATTGAACTGCAGACAGATAGAGATGGACAATTGAGTCAAGCACGGTAGTAAGTAAAGTGCGTGAATCGTTCGTTGTGAATTATAGCGTGTGTTTAAGTGTGGAAATTAAGTGTATTGCAAAGTTGTATTGAGAAAGAATAAACTAGTTTTATTTAAGAAAGGACTTATATCGCTGATGTTTCTCGGGAAGAATTTCTAAGGGAAATTAACAAACGAACAGAGACGTAACACTATTTTGAAATAAGTTCTTAAACGTATTCTTCTTAAAACATAGAACAATAACTAAAGAAGTAAATCAAACAATTATCTCTTCTAGTTATGACCTTTGTACTCGGTTCCTGCTTGAAGTAGATTGCTAAACCTTTAAAAAATTTGCACATGGAGGATATGAAACAAAATTGTTGAGGTTTTATATATACATTTGAATAACTAAAAAATCATAAATTACTACATTAATATTAACGAATTCCAGTATAATTTATCAAACTTAGTAACTACGATGTATTTTAGTCTAAAAATATGAAATTTCGAGCAGACTAAGGACACACCTTGAAATCCTTGAAATCTTGGTTCAAAAGAAAGCATTGGCGTCCTAACAACTTAAAATGGCTGACAAAGCCACTAGGGGCCGTTCTGAGTTTCCGATTGGTTATTAATGTCATATACAGAAGTAAGTGTATATAAGGGAGCGTTTCCAAAAATGGAAAGAGGTGGGCGGGGTGGCACTGTGTTTGATATATTACATGAGCAATATCTAAGCAAATTGGAAATATAAGAGGCTCTTAGTTTATATTCTAGCTTGTCAATATCGGTAGTTTGAGTTTATAATTCGTACGAGACAATATACTTACTATTTTTAATTCAAAAACATCTAATTTGAACTAGTGCTGCATTCAACATACCACGTGACACACAAAAATTGAAGTTTAGCTGTGTTTTTCTAAAATGTCTTTTAAATTAAGAAATTGGGTAATGTATAATTATAATCTACAGTTTGATACCAAAGTTATTGACATAAATTCATCAAATAGTAATTCAATGAAATTTTGAATGTGAGTTAACAAACGAGATGACATGGCCTTTCACCCGTACCCGTGTCGAAAGGGTGAATAGAGGAAGTCGGATACTCTAGAACTGACCACAGATAAAAAAAAAATGCTCTTTGTAAAACGTAACAATAATAACTAGAAAATGACAAAGGACATCAGTGAAGAGGTACCTAATTTAAGAGCCACACCATACAGAAGCAGATAAAAGTCTTCTATCCCATGCTTTTCATGCAGCAAAATCTGAAAGCAGAACAGTTATCATTACTTCTAAGGACTGAGGACACTTCACTTGTTTGCCAATAATATATTATTTCACTCAGTGTAGTCCGAACCCTTATAGCTCTACTCTCATCTTATATCATAATTTCACACTATGTCAAAACAGGTTTGGCTTGCCACTTGTGTCACCTTTTGTCATCCTTGCTTCAGTTTGTTTCAGTTATTTACCGCAAAGTGTAACCCCCGTTCCACCCTATATATAGCTTATTTCAATTTGTAACCCACTATATTACCTTCTGTACTTTTAGATTTAACATGTTAGAGATTGTGCCACACTTTGCCTTCTTCTCTTATGGGCCAGTGACGCCTGGAACGCTTCATTGTTTGTTTGAATTTGAGGCAAAGCTATTAAGAGGCTATCTATACTAGTTGTCCTTAATTTAGAATTGAAAGACTAGAAGGAAGATAGCTACCCATATCACCCATCGCCAACTCTTGGGATACCCTAGAGGAATAGGGGTTTTTGACTGTTACCCTTATAATGCATACACGGTCCGAAAATGGGGAGTGCGTTTTTTTGTTATTGTTGTTTTTTGCGATAACGGGGTACGAACCAAGGAACCTCTGATCTATAGTCTGACATTTAACCAGTGGGTCGGAGTATAGGAAGTTATAATAGGCAACCGACTTAAGGCAACCAACTTCCATGCTTTGTATTTTTAGTTTCATCTAAACGACCGACCAATAAGAATTGCCACGATTAAATTCCTCTAATATTTTCACTTTCTAAGTATTAGTTATGTAAAATAAAATAAACATTACTAATTTTCATAATTACATATAAAATTATATTATAAATACTTTCTGAAATTTAACGATAGATTTCCGTTCCCAAAATGGATGCTGATGGGTTACCGATTGTTGGACCAGGGGTGGACTACTCAAAGGTAAAAAACTATCTAACGAATTATTTGAAGCCTTATAACACATTATATTGTTTACTCTTCTCTGTTAACAAGTTTATTTTTAAGAACAGCGAATAATATTTATAAGTGCAATTTACTCTGCACCTATATTACGCACAGTACAACACAAACACTGAAATATAGTCTGACTGTAGTCCGAGCAAAAGAAGGCGTTGTTTTTTGTCACTTGTACTGTGTTAATGTATAAAAATTTAACAGAAACGAGTTTGTTTCCAGAATGCATTCCTAGTTGTGGGTCATTGTTTTATATATTTTAATTATGACAGTGGTGTGAATTTTTATTGTCAAAAAGCCACTTTTAAATATTAATCATTTATTAATAATGATATGCATTGTTACTATGTGCTGAATTTTAATTTCAAAGTCTTGTGAAGAATAAATTTAATTTAGTAACAACCAACGTTAAATAGTACTAACTTTTAGTTTTACTGCTGTTACTAGTATTACTATTAGTAATACTGTCACTTCTGAGTGTTATTCTACCAATAGTACAATTTGTATTAATATTAATGGGACTAACACTTAGTAACTCTGAAAGATAATAAATCTTAACAGTGAGAAGGGCTGCATGGAGCTTTCACATGCTTGTTCGTGGGAAGGATTGGTATCTGCCTTTCCTCAGCCCTAAAAATGTAAAAGTAAGATAGAATACATTAATCAGACCTTGCATGCTGTAAAAGTGTAAACTTGTCAGTCAATTAGGGAACATCATTATGACATGAACCTCGTGATCATTTGACGATGAAGGATTAAGAACAACTAATAGATGAAATCATACACTGATATAGTTAAAATGTGACAAGCTACAATTTTTTTTTATTTACTTTTTCAGTTATATACCATGTTGCAGTGTGTTTATAATGCTGCACCATATTAGTATATTGTTTTATACTATAACTATGGTTGGATGTGTATTTGTATTTAAAGATTCTGTAGTAGTAGTCACAGTTGACACTGCTTTTTTTTGCTTTTTTTATGATTTAAATTGCCAGAACTTTAGCTCAAAATGGCATTGCCTCCAAGTATTTATATTGTTCACATGAACATCACTTTACTTCAATGAGTCCATGTCTGAGTTAGACTGGCATCGTCAATTTGCAAATATATTTAGAGTACAAATCTATTTGTAACACAGCTAACTCTTTGTGTACAAAAGACTTGTAGAGTTTGAAAAGCTTGCTTTGTTTTATATGGATATACACAGTAAATGCAAAATTATAATCAATGTTCCTTCCAAATAGGAATAGCTCAACCTTGTGCACATTTGGTGAAGAATCTAAATGTAGTCAGTGACTTCTAGACTGGATATTCCATTGATCTCCAATCAATAACAAGAAAATAGCATTAAAACCATGATCTAGCTGGTATTGTGCCTGTAACTGTTATTGAATCTGAAAATATTAAAATCCCTCATATGATTATTTAAGTTGAAAAACTGCAGCATAAATATGCTGGAAGAAAAAAGTATATAATAAGCATATTTCAATGAAAAGTACTATATTCACATGAACTGAAAAGGATAAACAATATGTAAGAAGAGCCTTCACTTTGCATAAATGCATTGATAAAGTTACTATATAAAAATCTAATTCCACATACACACACACACTGAGAAAAGTATATATTTAAAATAAGAAGTGCCCTAAACATTTTTTCTGAACATAGTCATTGACTTGTTTTTGAAACACTTAAGAACTTCAATGTGTTTTTGTTTTGGTTAATAATTATGTGTTCTAATAAAGGATTTATTTATCATGGAATGTGTTATATGACCCAAATTCAAATATTACATTGTAGGAAGCTGCAGTACCAAGTATACATAAATGTAATATACTACACTATCATCCAGTGTAGTGTACTTTAAAGTAGCATGAATGTATTACTGTGTATGCCAGCCCAATAAGCAAGCAGTAGTGTTTTAAATGCTGGTAGTATAATTTAGAAATTTGTAGTATCATTAATAAACCTTAATAAATTTCTCTTTATTATCAATACCATGCTTTTCTTTCATTTTCGTTATATTTCATTTACCTGGATATTTTTTGTTGTTCATTATTAATAATGAATAATAGGGGAAATAAAAACAAATATGCACTATATAGATGAAAATTTGTCTTTGATTAACATTATATTTTACTTGTGTTGAAAAGTAGAAAATAAAAGGTCACAATGACCAAAGATCTACAAGCATTAGATGCGCTTAACCCTATTCATAAATGTTTTATGCACAACCATCTTTGGTCTTAGACATACCCAGGTGAGGTCAACAATACACACATTAAATTACTTAATTATTTGTGTTAGTTAAATGTTCATTTACTAGTCTTCTCTGGCAAAGTAGTTTTTATCAAAGTTCACAGTGCAAACTAAGATTGTAGAACATTATTCCCATATGCTATTATCCTAATATATAAACAGAATATATCCAAAATTGCCTTCTACATCTATAAATGTATAAAGCTCCTTCAGATGGCATTATTCATTTAAGCTGTTGGTTCCCAAACTGTGGGTAATGACCCAAAATGAGGTCATAATGTCAGCTAATGGGGTTGCGAGTAAACAATTATAATTAAGCCTACTTTTATTCTGGATTTAAAAGCTATGAAATTCACTCTGTGAATGTGTTGTTTGTTATGATGCTTTAGTTGCTGTTGTTTTGGGTCTGTTTGGAATTGCAGTAATTTTTACATATCAAAATGGAGTCAAACAGGAAAAGTTTGGGAAGCACTGATTAGGCAATGAATTGTATCATAACAAGTTAAGATTTTGTGTTCTAACTGAATAGCCACAAACACTTTATTTGAAAACTTACTGTCAATAGATTTGCTGTATTTTATTTTCTCCAAGAAAAAAATTTAAATCATGCTTAATAAATTAATCTAATATTGGTATCTGTCTTTATAATGAAGATATTTTTTTATATCTTTTATATATATATATATATTTTGTGAACTGCGGTGTCTGTCCAAGTGTTCATTTGTCTCCCATTTACAGTGGCTGTTTCTTGTGCTGCATTTAAAAAGCTATGCATACAGGCAAAGCTCAACATTCACTTTTGAAATGATGGAAGAACAGGCATGAGTAATGTTGATGCCAAATTTTATTTTGCAAGCAGTATATTCTACACTAAATTGTTAAGAATTAATTATTCTATCATTCACATTTCAAAGTGTGACATAACTTAAAGAATGAAAATGTAGATTTGCTGTATGTTCTTATTGAGGTTTACCTTTATGCTTTTATTACTTAATAATTTGATCTTGTTCATCTTTTCAAATGTATTAGCATAATTTATAGATATTTACTTACGTAGGTGTGATACCAGCCCTAATGCATAAAGCCTTGAAAAAGCTTAGAAATGAGTTAGTGGGGGACTTCATGTTATTTTTCAGTTAAAAAATAATGGAAATATTGAGAACCTAAACTTCTTACAGTTAGCTTGACTATATTTTTAGAGGTTATTCTACAAAACCTTTAAAAAAAAGGTTTCCTTGCTTCACCAACTTCTTTAATATTTTTGTTAGGGTCTTCACTTTATTATGTATCTTGACTGTTAGAAGTCTTTGATAAATTGTCATAAAAGGTGTAGAAGATTACATATAGAGGTACATAGCAAAGAGAAGTGAAGGGCATTATTCGATTTGGATGAATGTGAAAAGCAGATTCCTTCAGGGGTCTGTTTTGAAACATTTGTTTATTATATACATCACAAATTTAGATATCTTTTGGACAATAAAATTGTTAATGATACTAAAATGCTGGGAAGTAATGATTCTATTTCAATTGCTTCTTTTATTCAGGGAGAAAAGTTATAAAACTGAAAAGTTTAAAGTAATGTACTTGAGGTATGCAGATATGTAAAGGACTTACTTGTTTTTTGGTAGGAGCATCCAGGTTCTGGAAAATGAAAAGGACTTAAGTGTATTTTTGACAGAACCCTCTGCTGGGTGTTTAATTGCAGTGAAAATAGCAAACATGGTTCATGATGTCTGTTTAAAGGAATCTCAAAAAGGGTATTGTAACATTGCATAAGACTTGCAAGACCTCATTTGACATATTGGTGATGGTTATAGTTCTGATATTACAAAGAACATATTTTTAAAAATAGTGCAAATACGAGCTGTGTGAAAAAATTAGCAGGATACAAAAGAGAGAGAAAAAACATTTTCTAATTTTTTGAGGTGTTCATATGTCAAATTTGAATTGCCCTTCTAAGGGCTGCTTCTTCATTTAGATTTATAATATTGATGGTATGATAAAATTTGGACAAGCTAAAGACTTCTAGACCTCAAACAGGCAAAAATATAAAAATGTTTAAACACTTGTCTGTCAAAATCATGAGACAAATTTCTGTGTAAATATCAATGGTGAATAACTATTGTGAAAAAAGTGAAATGACTGATCAGCAGGATAGATGACCTGTTGAGATTTTTTAGAATGATAGGGTGCTATTTAAATGGCATGTAAGAGCTTGATTTTTATCTACTTTTTGATATTTAAGGTTATTAAATTTTGAATGTATTAGAAACATTCAAGTTTATGCAATTTGGACAGCCTTTGAGTAGTAGAATAAGAAGGTTGGATGTGAATAGGAAGTCCATGTGCAGACTTGTTTTTTGAGTAGTTATAAACTTATGGAATGGTACTGAATATTACAGTGTGAGAAGTTAGTTTAAATTATTTAAAATATTTGTTGGTTATATGGAAATGAAGTGCTATGTTTAATTTTATATTGATGTTTTGATGGGAAACAACCACAATGGACTGAAATAACTTTCTGCCACCTTATATCTTTTGCTATTGTGTCCAGCTATAATTGATGTATTTTAATTAAAGCTAATAGTGAGTGAAGGTGTAACAAAAATAATGTTAAATGGTTGGCTTTGATCTCAAGTTTTTTTTTAGAATTAACACACATCTCACATATCTTGATTTTCTGAAAGCCTTTGGCAAGGAGCCAC